TCGGCCCTTGCCGCCGGTGCCCAGCTCAGCCTGCGGAAGGCGGAGCAGATCCACCGCTACCTCCACCACCCCTTCGACACGCAGCTGCTGCCCGAGAGCCCCGGCCCCGGGGGCAGAGGCCCTGCCCGGAGCTGAGCGGGGACACAGGCCTTGGCTGCTCACTGCACTTTAACGGCTTTTCCTCCACTGTAAAATGTGTAAATAAATCCTTGCAGAGAGCTGAGGGCTTGGGGACGCTGCGGCCGCGCTCTGCCGCCAGCTGCTCTGGGGGCAGGGCTGGGGCGTGTCCCCTGGGTGCCACCACCCCAAACTGCTTTAAACATGGGAATAACGGCTGGGGGGGGGAGGCACCTCCCTGCCCTTCCTCAGCAACCACCGGGGTCACAGGGGTGGCCGGGGCAGCCAGAGCTGCGACTCGGGAAGGAAAGCGAGTGACATGGACAGATAGATCAGGCGTAGAACGTGTAAGATAACAGATAATATAGAAAATCAATATATAATATATATTGATATACTATATAATATGATATACAATATATAAGAATATATATTATTATGATTATATAGAATGTGTAAACTATAAAATGTGTTATTATGTTATGATATAATATATAACAGCCTGGCTCAGCTGTTCCGCAGCTTAAAAATGAGAGGATGAGAAGGCACAGGCCCAGCTCTCAGGATAAGCCAGGCTCAGGGACAGCTCCCAGGCGCCGCTGCTCCCCCCAGCAGAGTCCCGTTCACACGTGAGTAAAATAAGCTCAGACTTTTTTATTACATTAAGGAAAGGTAAAAAATCCAACCAGTAAAGTAAAAGGCAAATCCAACTCGTATGGGGCTGTACAGGTGTGAAGGAGGGACAGCCCCGTGTCAGAGACATTTTTAGCTTAAAATCAAACCGTGCCAGTACTCAGTACCCCGTGCCTCCCCCTGGGGAAGGGGCTGTGGGGAGGAGCCGGGGCCGGGACATGCAGCTTTGCGCACACAGAAACCGGTGTCTGGGCACGAGGCGGCCGGGGTTCATAAACCAGGTAAAAGCGCTGCGGGCGGGGGGCCCGGGTGGGTTCCTCAAGGTGGCGGGAGCCTGCAGACCCCCCCTGGCCGTGCCCGAGCTGTCGGCAGGCGGCAGGACCCGCGTGCTCCTGGCTGCGCCCTCTGAGTGGAAATCCAGCGCTCCAGCCCCCGGAGCTTTCACGCCAAGGAGCACCTCACTCTTCTCCACAGACCCAGGAACAACCTTTTCCCCAGGGACGTGTTTGTGCTGCACGGGAGAGGCTGGGGGCAGTGACTGGGGTAACGGAGCATGTTCCTGTCCTGCCCCCAAACTGTCTCTTCTCACAGGCTTCTCGTTGCTGACACTTGTTTCTTCCCCACTGGAATCACTGAGAACAATAATTCGGGACAGTTTCTTCTTCTGGGCTGGGACAGAGGAGTCCTCTTCCATCCTGGCCTGCTTTAACTTTTTTCTGCGGCGAGTGAGATACTGTTTTTTTCCACTAGTAAAACTCTCATTATTTAGGAGATCAAAATTAACACACACTTCCTCCTCACTAGAGTCACTTTGTTTGCAAGTCTCCTCTTCCTCCTCGCCAACGCAGAAACTGTCCTCTGCATAAGCGGGGTCTTGCTCAGGAATCTGTCAGGGGGAAAAACCACCAAAGCCAGTCAGTTTTGCTCCTCCTCTCCACAAAGGCACTCTCATCCACCAGCCATCCCCGAGAGCTTTCGGTGGGAATGGGAACTGCAGGATCCCAGCAGATCCCAGCAGAGGCGACTGGGCCACTCAGGCTCCTGTCAGGGGTTGGAACTGCAGAGGGCTCTCACCCCCGCTGCGGGTCCTGGGACAAGGCAGAGCCCGCCCACCCCCCAGCCCCCCAGCACAGGCACAGCCTGGCTGGCAGAAGCGCAGGGTGATGCTTTTGCAGGGAAGTGAAAGGGAAGGTCAGGCTTTGCCTCGGCTGAAACAACAGGTCTGATGGAATGAGCCAAGGCTGCTGGGAAATCAAGTCCCTGCCGGCAGATAGTCAGTGAGCACAACCTGAATTTGTGTGTATTAGCAGGGGAAAAAGGAAAAAAAAAATATGTTTCATCCTTTTCCTCAAATCTAGATGTCTATTTTATTGTGCTAAAGGTGGTATAAAAAGCAGGAACACAGGAAATAGAAAAAAAAATGGGGAGGAGATAAGGAATCATCCTGTTTTTCCAACACTGCGAGTTAATAATGTTGGTGTTAACTTGCCCTCCCCGGGCTCTTCCTTGGGACAGGTGCCACCAGTCTCCTCTGTGAGAGGGAGGTGGTGGAGCGGGGGCGATGAGCTGGTCCCACACCTCTTACAGCCACACTGGAATGGTGGAAGGACAGCCGGGGGCTGGGATGCTGTCACAGAATCCCAGGGTCATCCAGGTTGGAAAAGCCCCTGCAGCTCCTCCAGCCCCACCATGACCCTCCCCCTGACCCTTCCCAACTCCCCAGATCCCTCAGTGCTGGCTCAGCCCGACTCTTCAACCCCTCCAGGGATCCCGGGGACTCCCCCCTGCCCTGGGCAGCCCATTCCAATGCCCAACAGCCCCTTCTGCACAGAAATCCTTCCTCAGAGCCAGCCTGACCCTGCCCTTTCACCGCAGACTGGCTGACAGCCCCTCTCCAGCTGGAGAACTGGGGGTGTACACTTCTGCCAAAGCACAAGGGTCTGCACACTGCCACTTCAAAATCAAAATGAAGCCAACAGTCTTCTGCTGGAACTTATCATTTATCAACAACAGGCTGCAAGCGACACTCTGGAGTAGCATTAGACCCTAAACACGGTGACCCGTGGTCAGGATTTCACGAGGACAGGAGTCGTTTCGCTTCGTACCTGTGAGAAAATCTCCATGTTGTCGAATTCACGATGAACCATTTTGTATCTATTGCCAAGAGCTGGACTGCGCACAGATTTCAGGTAAACTCCTTTCATCTCACAGTCTGAATTAAAACGAGAACATAAAAGATTATGAAGTATTATTAGGGATTCAATTTTTAATTCGTTATTGTTACATTGTGTTTTCCATATTAAGTAATGCCTTTACGTTCCCTGTATTTCATAAACCAGAAACTTGCAGTTCTCCAGACACCTCTGGAAATCAAAAAGCAAAGGACTAAGCCCATGCAGCCTGCTGCCAGGAAAGCAGCCACATTGAAGGCTTCCTGGCTGCCCGCAGCAGGGAGAAGGGCAACAGCAGCCACAGGGAACACAAATCACTCTGATTTCTGCATTGTGAGTCTCTCCCAAACAGCCACCACTGATTTCAGAGACTATGAGAAAGGGACGGGTTTGCTGAAGCCCACACAGATCTTACAGTGAGCCACTCACAATTTCAGTGGAGGAGGAAAATCCTCAGCAAGACCTGGGCATCTTAAGTGGTAACACGATGATTCCATCATGCAGATGTGCCAGGGAAAGGCAAGGGTCATAAGCAGGGGGGTAAGTAAATCATCTCAGCTCTGTCAGTGCCAACACTGGAACTTTATCTTTAACACTCGTAGTATTATTTCATGTCATATTTTAAGTCTCTCTAAGAGACGACCAGAAAGATTCAGAAATTTCTAAGTGAAATGGGAAATGGTGTTTCTGTTCAGTCGTAATGGTGTAAAAGGCGGGTGGGTGACGCTTAGTGAGAGCTGGTCTCCTGCCCCTGCAATCCCCAAAGAACAGACACCAGTGGGGAACTTACTACAGGAGAAACCCATGTGAATAAACCCAGAAAAGGCACAGAGAGATAACAGAAAGCTCCTGCCAGAGCACAGCTGAGGAGGTTACCACTCATAAGCTGGCCCAGGCTGAGGTTTTAGCTGGTGCCGTGGCCGTGCCTGTCACACTCCCCTTATCCCACCCCCCTCCTCGTTCACCTTTCAGCGCCTGTGTGTCCTCTACGTCATCATTCAGGAACTGAGCAAGGGAAGAGTTCAGCTCATTCTCTGTATCAACAGTCTCATCAGATGAAACACCATCGGCGTCTTGCAGGGACACCTCTGCCTCTTCATCTAAAAACTGTCTTGCTGCAGTCTGAAAGAGAAAAGCACCCCAAGCTGTAGTTAGAAGCTGGCTCCTGATTTACTAAGTGTTACGTACGACACCTCTGATTAAACCAGGCCGCGAATCCAGACCACCAGCTGCTTCGATGGTCACAGCTATTAGGCCTCTGGCTTTGCCAAGAGAATCCTCACAGGGCAAGGAGATGGAAAGGACACCAAGTTCAGAGACAGCCCTGAGCACACACACGGGTCCCACAGCGCAGAGCCCTGCGGCGCTCTCTGTGCCCACACCAGGAACTGCTCCAACCAGAGTCTACCAACATGTCGTAGCTAAGCCCCTGGAAAATAAGAGGTCATTTTGGAACTTATAAAGCTAGTTTGCTCATTGTTTCCTTTCAAAAATCTGATTTAGAAGCGTGGGATTACTCTGAACCCCAGTCCACTAGAAACTTCAGATACAGACTTCACTCTGGTTTGCCCTCTTCTGTTTAGGACTCAGGATTCAGTTTTTCATGAATCCATCAGACAGTGCAACTCGTTATTGAGAAAAAGTTCTTCTTTCAGGGAAGATGAGGCACTTCCCACACGAACTGCAGGCCGGGAGACATGACACAAACCCTGGTACTAAGTTCCATCAAAAGCAGACAACAAAACATTCAAAAGAATGTACATGGAAACAAAACCAATGAGTTCAGAAAGACGTTTTGTCAGAGAGACTTTATATTAAGCTAACTTTCTCTCACAATTTCAGCTATAAAGTACTAAAGTAGAACATGGAAGAAAAAAAACCCCAAACAACCAAACAACCCAAAAAATCATGTATCCCAATTACTCCAAAAATTTATTTGCTTGCCTTCAAAATACTTTGAAGTGAGTTTTAGTTTAGCACACGGAAGACTGAGGCACCTTGTGTCACACTAAGTGACATATCTGATTTTCAAATTTTCCAAAGTCTTTTAATTATTTGCTTACACCAATTAGTAAGCCTGAATGACAGGCATTAGCAGTAGTTCCTTTTCTAGAACAGTTCTGATTATCCTGCAAGACCCAGGAGGCCACCTGTTTACAGGAAAGAACTCTCACTGCTACTGCCAATTAGTCTTAATCCTTCTTCCTCCTGAAGGACTACGGAGAGGACAAACCCTGCAGCGTGGAAAGCACCACAACACCAGAAACCAACAGTCAAGAGTCTGGTTACACTTGGGAAACAATAAATTACCAGGTTCTTAAATTATTTTTTCAATGTTTGAGTTCAGTGCCAGTGGCTAATTTAGGCCCCCTGGACTTCTCACGGTCTCCATTAATCCAGCTGCACCTCTCTGCTGTACCTACAGCTCCACTACCTGTACTTGTGACCCAACTTTGCGACTGGTGGTGCCTGAGCACAATGATTTTGATCTCTTGGATCTTCTGTGGATCTGAAATTCTGTCATGTTCATCGCTACGGATGTTTGGGTAAGATGTGTGAAGGCAGAGCAGAATTTCACAAGTATACACACTCTCTTTCCACGAACCTTTTGGCCTCACATAAAAAAAAATGTCCCAATAGAACTAAAAAAAAAGGGATTTTTTTCGTCTTTTGTATTCCAGAACAAAAAATACTGATACTATAGGGAAGCCTCCCTAATGAAGATTATCTTTAAAACATTAAAAATAACCAACATAATGTGCCCAGCAAGCCCTGATTACAGTAATTTCTGCCTAGTGGAACCACATCCATGCATATTTAAGAGCTTTACAGCTTACTATGAATATGTGATCCCAGCCCTGCATCCTCTCCTGCATCCATTCCTGACGCAGTGACAGATTAAAGTGTAAAACACCAAGTTCAGATTTAAGCTCTCGGGTCGAGGCACCACTGCTGTCTTATGGGTGCGAAGCCAAAACCATCAGCGTAGGTGGTAAATTCATGAGTAAGTATCCTAATAGTGTAAGTTCTGGACAAGAACCTGAGCTTCCTGAGTCTGACTAAACTTGGAGTATCTTCCATTTGTAACGTAATTTGTTCTTTTCCTTCAGAACATTATTAGGCAGGGCCCTGCAGAATCCTCTGAAAGTCAGGCAATGGATGTGAGGGTTAAGGTCATTCCCCAGCGTTTCGAGATTTCCTCTTGTGTGAAGCAATAAACTCGTGCGAAACAGCGACGAGCCTCAGCCCTCCTAAACAGTGTCTTAGGAACAAACAACTGCCCACTACTGTAATACAGCTGTACCCTGAGGTCCTACAAAGGCCATAAAATAGACAGAAGCTCCGTTTTTTAAGCAATAAACCACACACAAGCTCCAGGGGGAGCGACTCAGTGACACACTAAATTTCCACCTTACATATGTGAAAGCAGTGCTCAACATTTCTGTCATTTTCATGTTTTCTTTATATTGAAAAATAGACGTTAGAAAATACTTTCAGTTCATTCTTGCAGTCTAAAGAGAAAGCAGGATCTCACTGTCTGTCTGTCTGTCCCTTTGGTTTTGTCTGGTAGCACATGCTGCTCACGTTCTTCTGAAGCAGCTTTTCCTCTGCTGCAAATGTACACACACACACACACACACACACACACACACACACACACAGAGGACAAAGCACCACAGTTCCCTACAGCACCCCCAGTGCCAGCTGCTCCCAGCAGCACCCACAGCACCCCAGGAGAGGTGTGAGGAGGTCACATACCTTGTATGAGAAACTGCTCTTGACCTTCTGCCGTTTCGTGCCTCTCGGCTGGTTTTTGTTACAGCTGCTAGTTGTGGTCCTCCCTGAGCTCTTGTGAAAATCCATGCTGTCATCACTGGACACGTCTGACTAGAGGAACGTTTCACAAACACTTCAATAAATAAAGACTGAATCAAGCAGTATTTTCAATGACACGGCCATCTTTCAACATCTGGCTTTTTTAAGCAACACCTGATTTTTTTGTGATTGATTTGCTATGACAAAATAATGCAACAATGCCAATCTTATTAAATACAAAAGGAACAGGAAAACAATCTTTGCAAGAAAAATCAGGTCAAATGTGACCTTTTTTTTTTTTTTTTTTGGATTAAGAGCTTTGCAGAAGAAAAGTTATTTTACTGCCTTTCACACAGGGAGAGGCTCAGCTCTCCTGCCCATAACAGTATTTCACTGCCACACAACTACAGAGTCATCTCTGGAGAGCTCAGGGAAGACTCAGGGAAGGAAAGCAGGGACATTCTGATACCCCTTAGGTCAGATGGCATAAGTATTTTTAAGAAGAACACTTGCCTACTGACTGGAGAAAGAAAAACTGTTTAAATATATGCTCCATAAATGAGTTTGCATTATTTTTCTTCTGTCTCAGGGAAGCACTTACCATGTTAAGTGGGTGTTGACGTTTCCTGATGGCACGAATGGGTGACTCAAAATCGCTGTCATTCGTAACCTGTGTAAACAGAAAGAACTATAATTGCAAAGGGGATTTTTGTTTTGGTGTTTGACTTGTCATTTTGCTCCTCTTAGCTTTTTTTTTTTTTTTTTTTTTTTTTTTTCCCCCCAAGACTCACATCAGGAGACTTCAAAACATTCTTTTTTTTCCTATTTTTTCTCTGGAAAACGATCTCTTCTTCACTCTCACTGCTGGTTCCTAGAGAAAAAATAGTAAACAACATTCACAAGGCACTGCATTGTTCACAGTACAATATTGCTATAACTGAGCAATCAAAATCTGCCTCTCTTATAGAAGTACCTACAACGGAGATTACTTATTGATCTGCGTGGCAAATATTGTTCTCTTTAGCCTTGTTAATCAAAATAACTAATCTCCAGCTGAGATGTACAATAAATCTTAGTTTCCTGGAGAGTCTCTGAGTGGAAGTGATTACCCCAGGCAGTACAGATACAGCAAAAAAGGAGGTGAAAAATGAAACCAACAGAAGAAGCCGCTTAAAGCTGAGTGAGAGTTACGCTTCTGGAAGCATCTTGTCATAGGTACGGAGGGGAAGGGCAGCTGTGGCAGGCGTAGGCTCACCTGTCTGCCTGGGGGTATGGCAGGACGGAGAGGGGGTTCTGACTAAATCCCTCAAAGGTTTGAATTGCTTTAAGGAAAAGCACAAAATTCCCAAGAAGCATTCAACTTCTAAAATATCGTATTTAAATACCACTGACTATCATTTCAATAACACACGCTGTCCACGGAGGCTTTCCAGTCCTTAACAACCTGATCCAGGGTCAGTATTAACCCTGAAATTCTAAAACAGCAATTTATTGCCTTTTATGCTTTGGGTTTTTTTTTGGCGTTTGGCTTTTTAAAAATTTTTATTAAATAGATTACAATTTTTAAACTCAACATATTTTTTAATTCAAGCTAACGTATCAGTTTGAAGGTGTGATGGTTCAGGAAGAAAGGTGGCATTTGACAATCAATCACCTTCAGAAAATATGATAGCTATCAAATTCAAAGAGAAGGAAAAAAAAAGATGCTTTAACCACCAAAAGGACTGCTTATGCTTTGTTTCAATCTTTATGGGCAATAACAGAACCATTCAGAAAAACTTGATGTGCCTTATGAATCAGACCAAGGACTATTAAGCCTGAATTGTTCTCTGAGTAACTCAAGGTTATTGAGAGATAAACACATGGAAGGGTGTGAATGTGACCTCTAAGTGACCTACGAGTGAGGAGTGGCGGTCATTTATACATATTTCAGTACCTGAATACAAAGTATTTTTTTATGGCATAGAAAAAGACAGACGGGGAGAGAGAAGGAAATAGAATTGAGCCTACAAACAGTCAATATTTTTCAGACAATCCAGGTTTGTACTGAAGTTATAATCAGAAAATTGTAAATACAAGACAGTCGCCACACAACTAAACTGAGAGAAATCCATCAGTAGAGTTTCTGCTCCCCAGGAACAATGACAGGAAAGTATCACGGCGTGGATTCAGGAAAACATCCACAGCATGGACTCAGGGATTGAAGAGCAACAGATCCAGCTGACTACAAGTCAGACACTGGGAAGATGAAGCCGGGCTCTGAGGGTAGCTCCAGGTGCTGCAGCCACGTCTCACACGTTGCACTGTTGGTGCCCTGAGGAGGGACGAGGGCTTTAACACCGGCTGTGCCCCCAGTCTGCCCTTCAGCCCCCAAGGGCTAAGCTCGTGTGCAGGCTTAAGGCTCTGGAAAGTCTCCTCCTCGACCCAGTTTCTAGTGTTGCAGCCATTATTCCCTTTGCCTTTCACCCTTCCCACCTAAGTCATAAAACCACATTGAGGATCCAGAAGATACTGGGTTGTATTTATTTAAACATGAAGGCATTAACCACCTGGAAATCCCTACCTTCAGCAGGAGACAGATGTGAGCTACGAAGGTCGGTGGCTTCCAGGCTTCCAGCTCTTCCTAAAGGGGAATCACACACACCCACGGCTGGACTCCTGAAGTTCTGCCTACGGGGGCTTTTAGTGACTTTCTCTGTCCCCTCTGGAATTTCCTCCCTGGCACTAGAGAAGACATTCACAGGAATCCCTCTGACAGCTTCAGTGTTCGGAACGTTTCCACTCGCTGGGGCGGGTGCAGAAGACACAGCTCCAGGTGATCCCCCTCCTGTCCTTCTGCCCCCCCGCTTCCAGAGCCGCCCCGCAGCGGGAGCGTGCTCGGTCCCTTCTCTACCCTTCAGGCTCCTGCTCTGGAGTGCCCAGAGTGGGGAAATGTCCCTTCTCTCAAAACTTTTGCAATCCCGTTTTGGTGGCGTTTCAAGTCTGGAGCTATCATTCAGGGTTTTTTTTATATTTTCAGTGGGTTTAACATACACATGACCCCCCAAGACACTGTTTGATTTCCTGGCGTTATTAGCATTTGTATATTCATCAACGATTTCACTCTCACAGTCTTCGATGGAAAATCCCAGATCAAAGTTAACAGAAAACAGTTCTTGAGAACTGTCATAAGGATCTGTGAAGGGCTCAGTCGCACTGACACCAGCTGCTGTGGGGGTGGCTGTGGCTGTGCCACCCCCCGGCCGCTCCCGGCGGGTCCCCTCGGGGCTGCGCTCCCCAACGGCCCTTGCACCCGAGCCTGACCCCACCAAATGCTCCTTGCTCAAAGAAAAACCTCCATTATTTGCGTCATAAACGTAGTCATCTTCAAATAAATGTATACTCTTCTCTTCATCAATAATCACATTTTTTGTGTTAATTTCAGGATCTTCTTTATTTTTTTGAACAAAATACTTATTTGTAGGGTTATTTGTCAGAGTTTGATTTAGTGTTGGAGTTTTCTTTTGAATTTCAGTGAATTCTTCATTCTCAAACAGATTATCAAAGCTGTCATCCCAGTGAAGTTCCTCTTCGGCTTTGACAGCAGCAGCCTCAGAAGATGATGCAGTTTTTGAAAAACAGTTCCTTATAGAAGCACACGATTCACGGGCGCCTTTCAGTTCAGGGTTTTCAAAGAGCAGCAGAGAGTGATCAGCTTCTGAGGATGCAGGAAAGACTTTGTCCTGCAGTCTCTCTGAGGAAGTATCAGAAATGACTTTTTGAAAGGGACAGATTGTATCTTCATTTCTCATCATGTTTTCAAAATCATCAAGTTTATCCAAAGAGGGAGGAGACTGTGATAAAAGCCTTTTCGCATGGGAAAATACTCCTTTTGACAAAGAAGGCTCCTCAGATGGTCTCACAAGTGCAAATGAATCTACGTATGATTCAGGAAGATAAAAAAAGTCAGAGGACACAGGTGATTTCTCAGCTGTGAAGCTGCTATAACCCGAATCTGCATGGTTCATCCCCAGTGACCTACAAGCTTTATCCACACTTTTGTGTTCCTTCACTGCCGCACTTTCATGAGTTATAGTATTCTCGCTGTTGTCACATAGGTCAATACATTCATTTAAGTCAAATGTCACCTCTAGTTCCTCATCGTTTTGGCTGACCTGGTCAGTATTTTCAACTGGAGCAAGCCTCCTTGCTGAGTAAGAAGCCGAAGTATTAGTACCAACAGGAAACACAGTCGTTTCCAAATTTAATCCAGAAGTTCTTTTGGGAGGTTTTGGTTTTGCTATTTTAAACGTGGTAAAGAATTCATCCTCATTATCATCTGGATCAGGTAGAAATGGTTTTACTTTTGATCTGTGTGCCATGTCTTTTCCAGATGAGCGTGGTTTCTGTTCAAGTGTGGAGGTGGTCACGGAATGATGACTTTTATTCCTTTGGACATTAACGTCTTCAATACGTAAGTGAGGCTGAATCTCCAGTTCATAGCTGCAGTCTCCCTGGTGACAAACACAGTGTAATATTTACTATAAATACATACAGGCTTGCAAAGACTTGTCGTAAGGACATTTAAAACAAGTGACAAAGGTTTTCATACTCCTAAAGGTTATTAGAAAGGAGAAAAACAAAAAAAGGGAAGTGCTTTGCATTTAAGGTCACAACTTTCAAACAAAATGTTTGCTGGTAGCAACTGCAAATCTATGCTTGGGTAGCGAACCCTGAATGTTTTAGACGAACCAGAAGATAGCGTGCATGAACAAAGATGGCACTTCCCATTCTGCACCGAGCATCTGTGTCATGCAGGTAAGATGCAGTTCTCAGAACACCAACAGCAAGCAACGCCCCTTTGCTAACAAAATGTGGAAGGCACAACGTCCTCAGGCAGGGCAATGCTTGCAGGCTGCAGTTCTGGGAGGACTTACCAGGCTGAGGAAGGTGCTGCGGGCAGAAGAAACCCTTACTCGAGCACATGGAGTTCTCTTTGCTCTATTGTTTGTAATTTGGCTACTGCCGCTGATGGCATGTTAGGAACTTCTCACTTACATACTCTGAACTCCTTTTTTTTCCCCCACAGATGTTTATTAAACTTCTGTAAAAAAGGCACTGATCTAGACAACCAACTCTTTAAAAAATACACTTGGAAAAAGCACAACAGACTTTGACATCACTCCCGGGTAGGTATCCACACAAGGACTGCCTGGATTGAAAAGCTATTTATTTAGCATCCTTCTCACTCTCTCCTTTAAATTAAGATTTCAAAATTAAGGCATGCAATCTTCAAAAGGAACAGTAAGAGTCAAATGAGGCTCTGAAAAGCAATAGTTTGAAACACTCCAAAGTTCTAACCTGTTTCACTAAAAAAAAACCAACCAACCAACCAAAAACCAAATGAGGATGTAATATCTAAACAGAAAGTACAATTATTTTTTGGCAGTTCTGTCAGATGAATTCCTAGACCCAATCCCTGAAATTAAACAAGATACCTTTATAAAACAGTGGGTGATAAAACAGACTCTTACAATAAGAGGTTACCTGCCTCCCATACTAGTATCATTCTCCAAAACTCAGCGTACACAAGTAGGAAAAAAAATGAGGTCGTCATAATCAATCTCCTGAGCCGTCCTCATTGTCCCACCAGAATATTACTAGAGCAGTTGTACTTCAGCTTGTGCTAGCCGTGCTGATACTCACTATTCACACCCCAGCAACACCTGGATCTCCCTTCCCTAGCTCTCCACCAGCAAGACCCTGCTCTCCCCAGCCCACGTACCCAAGCGATGGGCAGGTTCTTCTCCCAGGGCCGTAACCCTGGTCTTCACACACAAAGAATGTGACTTCTCATTGCTCCAACATTTGGTCTCTGTGTAATTGTGTTGTTAAGGAAGTTTCCAGAGCTGTTCTAACCACTGGCACTGTGGCACCAGCAGCTGGATAAAACTGGGACCCCTGGGACCACTGGGGTGCCTCCTCCCAAAGGGACGGCCAAGAAAGCAAACAGCTGGGGTTTCCACAGGTGGCACACCTGGAGCTGCTGTTCAACAGCCTTTCACTGCTAGACTCCTTATGGGAGCTAGAGGAGCCAATCGTGGAAAAAAAGGTTTGAAAAATACTCTGGAAAGTCATTCTACCCCATTACGCATTTGAATTTGAGGCAGAAATAAGTATACCTACAATTACTGCTGCCTGGCTTGTCTACATGTGTTCCTGCAAACGGGATCTGAGGCCACCTTCCATGCATCTGAAGGCTGGTCACACCCTCGCACCGGGTTGAATCCCCTCTGGCTGCAGCAGACAAAGCACACTACCCACTACTAACTGCATTTTTTCACCCTCAGTAATAATAACAACCATCATCATCGATATTGTGATTCGACTAACCTCGCACACACATGCCACAGAAAGGATGACGTGCAGAGTAAATCAGGCAGAATCCATGCCGAGGCTGTTCTGGGGTCAGGCGGTTACCAGTCCTGCTGACAGCAGTGGCGGCCGTGTCTCAGCACCATTTCCAAGGGGTCAGACAGCAGAGGGTGAGAGCAGGGGAGGAAGCTCAGCTGCCAGAGATTCACCTCTAAAGGGCTGTGAAACACCGACTCTGTGTGTCACTACAGCAGGTGTTACTCAGCTGCTACACACTTAGTGCCTAGGCTTAGGCTATCTAATTCTTAAACATATCCAAAGGAACTACAAGTTAGGATTTTTTTTAAAAAAAAAAGATTGTCAAGGAGATCCTCAGCTTATATAGGCTGCCTTAAATAATGAACAGCAAAATCTTAATACCAGAATAACAAAGAAAATAATTACTATGAAAGGGTTAAAGGATGATTTTGATGTGTGCAGGTTCTAAGTAATTAGCTTCCCTCAGGCTCAGTCAAAACACAGAATCAAGATGAGGTATGAAATCAAAGAGGAGCAACAACCAACCACCAACACGACCTGGCCCAATTAACTTCACAACTGTCATCTGAGGAGACTGTACATGTGGTTGACAAGATAACAGTGTCGATAATGACATTATGTTTAGATTGATGTAAGTAACAACTGAACGTTGCATAACATTTCAATTAAAGTATCCAAGCGTTAGAACACCACAACGGATATTAAATGGATTAAGGACCAACTCGCTGCCAAACCGCTGAACCTCACTGACACAGGAGGAGTGATGCTGCTTTTGCCTGCCCAATACACTCCTGAGGCGCAGCACAGACCATCCCTGCCCTACAGTGTTCTGCTTTTTTTAAATAACCCCAAGTAAAGCAACCCACACCTAACCAAACCTGCAGGACAAGATGAGGGTAAGCAGGTAAAAGGATAATTCGGATCACAACTGGACCAGAGGTAGAGCAGGTACAGGCAAATCATTTCTGGTTTTGTATGGCCAAACAGGGAGCTGGCTGTTTGGGAGGGTAAGGGGTAACAGAACCCTATCACGTCGTCCAAAGACCTGAAGGATCTCAAGAATGAAGCTCCTGAATTGGAAATGGTGGTATGCAATCTCTTGCTTGCACACCTCAGGAACTAGGAGGCAGCAAATGTGATGCCATTTGTTAACGGTCAGGGAGGAAGCGAACAGGTTGCTAACCTTATCTCCATACTGAATAAATCAGAAGCTGTAACAGATGACATAAGTACTGGATGAGTCTTCTTCAGAACTGGCAATATTCTTTGTGAAAACAAAAAAATCAGACCTTACAAATCCATTAGATGTCTTTGAAGAGACCAACAAGCAAAACCATGGAGATGCTCTCATGCGTACCATTTTCCCAGCTTTCTGAAAGGCTTTCGAAAAGTCCCTGACAAAATCCCCAAATCTTAAAAAAAAAAAGTCTTTAAAGAGAGATCAAAGCAGGGAAGTTTCTTGCATGGATAAGTAATTGGGTACAACACAGAAAACAGGAGGAGTGAGGAGTTGGTACACTGAAGAACTTCAATAGGCCACTGTATATACATGATTGTGTTCTAACTTGGGGGAGGAGGAAAAAAAAAAAAGATTGAAAACTATCTAGCAGAGCTGCTGTGTGCCAGGATAACAGTCCAGAAGGGAAACTTAGCATCTAGGACAAACTTCAGTAACCTAATTTCAGGCTTACATGGAGTTATATAAGTTTTCTAGTTCAACTTAGTCATGAGTCTCATTAATACTGATGGAGTGAAAGGACCGAACTACAGTTATCACATTTTAGCCCGAATGCATACAACCTGTAGAACCTTAACTCACCAGATCAGCTCTTCTGTAACTCAGTGAGCTCCAGCGTGTACCAGCGACTCAGTAAACAGGTCACACAGGAGTAGAAAAACAGGCGTCTCTTTTGTATTATTGTACTAAATCAATACCCTTGCCTCGAATTACTGGTTCAGTTTAAAGAGCAATAGGTATTTTAATGTAGAAAAAGGAAAAAGTAAACCTAAGATATTAAAATTTTCAATTTTAATATATAAATATATGTATAAATAGATGCTGGTTTCTAGCATTTAGATTTAAGGCATCTACTACCAAAATTAAAATTAACCTGTCTCTCCTCATAAGCTGCTTTGGATGTACATTTTCTGATGAGATTCAGATGTTGGCCAAAACCCCAATGATTTTGCTATTTAAAAATGGAAAAGTAAGTCTGTAAACAGATATAATACAGATTTTAACAATTATAACTTCTTTAATCGAAAGCTGGATTGAAACAGAGGTAAAAGCAGCTCGGACAACTGGCATTTGAGTCTCTTCTGACACAACCAGAACCTATTCTCAGAACACCTTTTGTTAGATCCAGGGGAGACAGGCTTCTGGATTTCCAGCTTTCACACTGAGTGCTAAACCCCATGGAGTCAACACCGCCCGTGCAGTCACATTTCTGAAATTCTAATCCCTTTTATGACTAACAGTGATCATTAAACTGCTCACATGTAACGTTCACACAGAAGTACCCAAAACAACTCTTCCCTGGCTAAGGCAGCTTTCTCCTTCATTCAGCTTTGAACTTATTGGTACGGAATTTAATTCACCAGCTTTTTAGATCTTGCTCACCGGCTAATTCTTGACGAAATTCTGTAACTCTCTATGACTAACTTTTAAAATCTACCACCAAACCCAGTATTTTCCTGCTGTAAAAATGATCACTTTTCCACACGGTTTACAAATAGGTTAAACAATTTTGTTGCTTATGTGATTTCAGTGCTGACCTCCCCACCCTCGGAGCACAGGCCATATACCTTTCAGACACCCCTTAATGAATAGAATCATCAATCCCTCTTACTCCACAATTTCTTAGTTTCCAGAAGAGATCTAGAGGAAGAAACACCGTCAAAAAATTTTTCTTGAAGTTCAAGTATAGTATACCAGATGACCCTTAAAAATCTATTTAGTTGACTCACGAAAGAAGCCCAAGGGACACAGGAACCACAATTTCCTTCTACAAAAGCTGCAGTATTTCTTTTCCTAACAGTATCACATTGGCGATGTTCCTACTAATTCTATTGCTTTTTTTGCTTTCGGGCAGCTTGCCTG